GAATGGACATTAATCTTTACTTTGGGCTAATAATTTATAATTGATGTAGTTTACAAAAAGTATCCTCTTTCAGGCATTTCTTAACGTAGTGCTTCTTTAACTACATGCTAGATCCATTTAATTATATCTTTTTTTAACTTTGGAATCAATCAATCAAACTTTAATTGGTTGGCTGCCAAATACTGGCTTTGAGCTTAGATCCTTTGTTATATTGGTTTATATTGTTCAAAAGGTTGTTTTCATGAAACATTTTTTGGGATCAGTGTGTCATGAAACATATTTTGGGATATGCCAAATTAAAACAAATAAGGCAAACTTCCAGTTAAGCATAGCAGGTAGAGCACTTATTTAATGCTCTGATTGGCTCCTCAAACCTCACTAAAATGACAACAGAAGAATGAAAAGAAGAATTTTAAGCTACAAAGACAAGAAAACTAGAGAAAAGGGATAGCTCATAAGAGATGTCCACAGAATAGAAGCTTTAAAGTGATTATATGAAAGGGCTGATAAACTGTCTTAGCAGAAAGTTGACACCTAAACTTTTCATGCATAGAGTGGAGTTAAGAATCAAGTCAGTTCACATACCATCAAACCTTAGGAAGTCTCAGGTTTGTAGGCCTCCATTCTCTCTGATGGCAGAGATATGTGATGGTGCCAAAAACCAGAATTGGTTGAAAACTTTTTGAGAAGCAGTTTATCCTGTGGATTCCCTGCTGAACTAAGATAGAGGAAGGGGTCAAAGACTTGAGGTTTACTAGATAGAGGAAGTGGTTAAGCCTGATTAAACTCTAGCATAAGTGATTGTAGAGGAAACAACAGGGTAACAAGAGAGAAATTACGTCAAATGGTGAGGCTTCTATTCCTCTCCCCATGATCATTTCCCAAGGCATTAGCAGTCTTGCTTATTATTTTCCTCAAAATAGGAGATAGGAGGTACATTCTGGGATACTGGCTTGCCCAAAACAAAAGACTTGGAGATAATGTCATTTGGGAATCTCCTAGTGAAATAAGATATCTTATTGGATATATTATTGATATCCAACAGATATCTGTTGGATCACCTTCCAATGAAACTCATTAGTTAAAAGGCTCTGATCACCCATCCACACCATTTTCGATCAATATTTTAGTGTCCTGCGAACAAGCAAGGATCATCAGATATTTGGGGAAAACAACATAATTAAGATCAAAACAGAGACAAAAATGAACCTGATGGGAGATAGTCCCAATGCTAGAAATAGGGAACAACTTTTAAAAAATTAATAATTTTAGCTATAAAAGAAGGGATATTTCATCAGTGATGTAAGAAAAAAAACTGTTTTAAGAAAACAGTTTTAGAAATTAAAAATATTACAGCAGAAATTTAAAAATTCAGGAGTAGGCCGGGGCACGGTGGCTCATGCCTGTAATCCTAACATTCTGGGAGGCCGAGGCAGGCGGATTGCTTGAGGTCAGGAGTTTGAAACCAGCCTGAGCAAGAGCAAGACCCCGTCTCTACTATAAATAGAAAGAAATTAATTGGCCAACTAATATATATAGAAAAAATTAGCTGGGCATGGTGGCTCATGCCTGTAGTCCCAGCTACTCAGGAGGCTGAGGCAGAAGGATTGCTTGAGCCCAGGAGTTTGATGTTGTTGTGAACTAGGCTGACTCCAGGGCACGCCCTCTAGCCTGGGCAGCAAAGCGAGACTCTGTCTCCAAAAAAAAAAAAAAAAATTCAGGAGTAGACAAAAACTGAGGTGTCTTAGAAAGTAAAACTGAAAGTTAAAGAGATAATAGGGTATTCACTGAAGAGGTTCAATACTGAATAATAAAATTTCAGAAAAGAATTCCAGAAAGGAAAAATCATAAGGCAGAAAGTTATCAGAAAAATTAATGCAAAGGAAAATTTCTCAGAATAATAGGGCATGGATGTCCAAATATAAAGAATATAATACCTGGTAAGTGAGAAAAGAATATACAAAGTGCTTCATAAAATTCTAAAATCTGAGGGTAACAAGTCTGATGGTTCTAGAGCTTATATAGAGAAAATAGGCCAAATATAAAAGATTAGGGCTAGAAAAGTGTCATCAACAATAGTTGGAGCAGTGAAGTGATTCCTTGAAAATTCTGGGGAAAATAATTAGTAACTAGAAAATTCTATACCCTACCAAACTATCAAGTGTTAATTGCAGAGTAAAATAAAGACATTCTCTAACTCATAAGAGCTCAAAAATTAATTCCTATGTTTTCTCAGTTCTGCTGGAGGATGTGTATACTTCACTAAATGAGATAATAAATGGAAGAACAATGTGAGATAAGAAAATGAGCTCCAACTCAGGAAAAGATAATAACAGCATGATGAAAAAGTATAGTCCCAGAATGACTTGTTGAACAGCACCTTTGAGAGATACCAGTTCAGATTAAAGCAGGACAGAGGAATCGTATTGCCAAGAGAACAGGAAACAAACTTGAGGAATGAGTTGATGTGTTTGGTGTATCTAGAGGAAATTTATACTTTGTTGTAGAGTTAGCAAAATTAATGGTAGATAATATAGAAAAAAAGGAAAAGAGAAAAACAAGCTTATGAACCCTAGGAAAGCAAGAAACCATACAAGAAAAGTATTCATAATTAAGTATGTGGTTCAGCTGTGATCAGTGTTTATATATTATAATGTAATACTGTCATATCAAATACTGATACATTGAAAAGGACAATATAGAGAGAGTGAAGGTATAAAGAGAAAAATCTTCTGTAGTAAAAAAAAATTGCAAAATACCTGAAACCAAAAAATTTAGATAGAGTAGAATAAGGATGTTATTATAAGTAAAAAGGTAAATATTAGAAGAAACAGCCAAAAGGATTTGATGAGTGCTTTTGGAAGCAGAAATGAAGGGTGGTGTTTCTGTAGTTTTCTTTTTCTTTTTTTTTTTTTTTTGAGACAGAGTCTCGCTTTGTTGCCCAGGCTAGAGTGAGTGCCGTGGCGTCAGCCTGGCTCACAGCAACCTCAAACTCCTGGGCTCAAGCAATCCTTCTGCCTCAGCCTCCCGAGTAGCTGGGACTACAGGCATGCGCCACCACGCCCGGCTAATTTTTATATATATATTAGTGGCCAATTAATTTCTTTATTTTATAGTAGAGACGGGGTCTTGCTCAGGCTGGTTTCGAACTCCTGACTTTGCAATCCGCCGCCTCGGCCTCCCAGAGTGCTAGGATTACAGCGTTGAGCACCGCCCGTCTGTAGTTTTTCTTTATAAGCCTAGATGACTTCTTAAAGTATGTACAGTAATTACTTTGATAAAAATTAAATTAAAAAATACATCACTGCTGTCCAAAGATAAGTAGGGAGTGCATTTGTAAAACGGTCTCTAGGAAAACATAATTTAGACAAATTCACCAGTAGTGAATATTTTAGAGATTGTAACTGGAGCTGCTGAGTATTTATCAGAGAATTACCCAGAAAAGTGTGAAATAGCTTTTGGACTAGATTTTCAAACTTGGCATTGGCCAGAAAACTAATAGTTCTTTCCATAGAGAACATTTTGTCTACCAGTAGCTTCCTGAGGTAGGCTTCAAAGTGAAAGAATGCTATATAAACAGTATATACTTACTGAGTGAGTACTGAGTGAATGAAACCTGAATCAAACAACTCAGCACCTTTAGGACATAAAAGACATGCTGTATCTATAGTACAGCAATTCTATACCTAGCTGAAGGAAAATGGTGGTTATTTCCAACCATACATTTTTACGCCTGGCTTTTTAGGCGATTTTAAAAATCAGTGTATCAATCTTTTAAAAATACATCAAAGGCTAAGGTAGTAAGTTTCTGGAACTCAGCCCTCTCTCCTGCCCTCAACATTGAAATTGCATTTGTTAAAATAGTTCTGAGTGGATGGATAATAGCATGAAACCAAACAGCTGTTGTATAGTAAGTTAAAAGGAAATTAGTATGCTATTAAGTAGAAAATAGGCTATTACCAACTCAACTAACAACACCAAAATCTATATGGTCCTGCAATTTAGGAAACAGGCCTGCTGATTAGTGTGATTTACTTTGAACAATGTCAGTAGGGCTTTTGGGAGGCAAGCAAGGCTGAAGATTAAAAGATAGTTGTCATTTGCACTGTAGAAAAGTCATAAGCAGTGTAGCCACCAACATTGCTATAACAGAAAGGTATTTCAATCAGCACTTCTACTTTCTTTCTAATTGTAAAATTTGAGGAAGAAGAGTACTTACTTGAAGTAGGCACCAAGGGCTAAATGATAATTTATGGTTGTCAAGGGCTTAGGGCTCCAGGTCCCTGGTTAGGTCCTACTTGAGATGAGTTACAGTGCTGTTTTTTGATAATAGTTGGAAAGAAGAAATTAAATGCATTATTGACATTAAATAGCAGGACTTCTTGTATGTACCTTTTGTTACAAAATAGTTTAAGTTTGCATAGGGTGGCAGAAATTTTTTTTTTTTTTTTGAGACAAAGTCTCGCTCTGTTGCCTGGGCTAAAGTGCTGTGGAATCAGCCTAGCTCACAGCAACCTCAAACTCCTGGGCTCAAGTGATCCTACTGTCTCAGCCTCCCCAGTAGCTGGGACTATAGGTGTATGCCATGATGCTAAGCTAATTTTTCTATTTTTGGTGGGGTCTTGCTCTTGCTCAGGCTGGTCTTGAACTCCTGATCTCCTTGGCCTCCTAGACTGCTAGGATTACAGGTGTGAGCCGCCATGCCCGGCCAGAAAATGTTGACCAGAATTTTAATATTCATAAGCCCTGAGCATAGCAGTTTTACCTACTTTACCAGTTTTCTCTCTTGCGGCCTTTTATATTTTCCTTGTATATGTAGCGTAACAAGATAAGATGAAATTTACATTTGGAGAAATTGTGTAAATGAAAATACTGTTATTTGAAATGGAACTTTTCTACATATTTTAACCCTTGTCCATATGCTAGTATCAATACTGGTTTAAAGCCTTTGAAGTAAAAATTAAGACAAATTAACCATGTCCTTTTATGTTTTTGTGCAGAAAACTCTTCATACAGTGAAACAGAAGGAAAGAAAAATGAAGCAATAAAGATATATAAGGTTTGTTGAAATAAAGAAAAATTATTTCATAGATAACACCTTATGGTTACTTAGTACATAGCTCTAGTGTCTTGGGTATATAAAAATGTTGTAATATAACTGTTATGTACTTATTATGGAGGTATTTTTATTTGCTGTTTCACTAACTACTTTTTACTTTTCTAGCCTCAAAGATCAAATTGGTGTACAAGTCAGTGCTTCAGAAATTTTTTCTCCAATATATTTTCTTCTAGTAGTCACACTGGAGAATCTTCTTTTACCTGTAGAGCTTATTGGTTAGTATTTTCTACTTTTAATTGATGCTGTCTCTACTTGATGTTTTAATGATTACGATTACATTTTCGTAGAAATTTAAACTCTGGGCTCAATAAAAATTATGAAAGGCCCACCTTGTTTTGTTTATTTCTTTTGGAGATTAAACTAGCTCTAAGACAAAACCAGTTATTTTGTGAGCTTTTCTATTATGCCTTGAGTGTCAATGCCAGTGGGCTTTGTTTTCATTAATAAGTTGTTCTATTTAAGCTTTTTTTTTATAATAGAGAAGTAGGCTACTTATTAAGTTATAGGGAATAATACCTAACAAAGCAGAAATCTTTTAGAGCCTAAGCAGTCATCTTTGAATCCTAGTGACTGGCACATAAATGTTAAGTAGATATTTGTGGAATTTGAAGATTAAATTGGGGTTTTAAAATCACATATGCAGTTAGCTGAACTAATAGGACAGAATAAGGTTGTGTGATTTAACTTTAGAGATCGGCAAGGTATTCTAAGACAACAATTATATCTGAGTAGCTTTTTGAAAAGCTGAACTTTTCAAAAGTTCATCCATTTTTGGATGCAGTAATCATACCCTCCTTTATTTTCTTCTTTTGTATTAGGCTAATTTCTAGTGGCAAACTATTACACCTAGAATGCCTTTCTTTTAATAATGAGGATTTTGATATGAATTGACTTTTTTTTTATCCAGTCACTTAAGATAGAAATTCCAGCATTATTTTTAGGAATCAAATAAATATAATTCTGATTCATAATATAAAAATTTTTACCTGATTTAGGAATGAGTTTGTATTAAAAATGTTTAAATAGAAAAACATTCTTATTCTTACATGTGTGACCCATAATGCTAGGTTTAAAAACTGCTGCTATTCTTGATATAACCCAGTTGTTTCTTTGAACTTAAAATTTTGATGAGGATCTAAAATTTATCTTTTAGTACAGAATTTATAGAAGTCAATGAAATCAGTGCACTGATTAGGCAGAAGAGACAGGAACTGGAATTATCATGGTTTCCTGATACATTACCTGGAATTGGAAGGTAAAACAAAAAATTGTTTACTAAAGTGTTTACAGGCTAATGTAAGCACAAGATATCATTAGTATTAATACTTAAGTACAGGGGTGCCTTATTCAACAGTTATCTGCCTAAGGAAGTTTTGTGTACATTAAACTTTGATGTTTCAAATGCCTAATGAATATTGCTATTTAAAGGACCTCTTAGAAAGTAAAGAATCTTTAATTTATCTGTTTAATAAGTATAGGTATTTATATGCTAGATTTATTTAAAATGGAGAGCACTTGAGTAGTAAGATTCATTATTAGTAGTAGCATTTAAACCTTTTATCCTTCCTCTACTCTTTCCCCATTGCAGTCTCACCTGTAAGCATTGCTTTAATCATATTTCCCTGCCTGAGCTGGAGTACAGTGGCGCAATCATAGCTCACTGTAACCTCAAACTCCTCAAGGGATTCTCCTGCTTTAGCTTCCCAAGTAGCTGGGACTACTAGCCCGGGTAGTTTTTCTTTCTTTCTTTCTTTTAGTTTTTTTAAGAGACAAGGTCCCACTATGTTGCCCAGGCTGGTTTTGAACTCCTTGTCTCAAGTTATTCTCCTACCTTGGCCTCCCAAAGTGCTGGAATTATAGATGTGAACCACTGCATCCAGCCTTAAAAATGTCCTTCTAAATAATTATTTGATCAAGTGCTTAGTGTTCATGACTTTCTATATTCTGGTTTTTTCTTTCTTTCTTAGTTTAAGTCCTCAAGCTACTAGCCCTGTGCTAGGTACATAATATATATATTTAAATCAAGCTGCTAAATGAAGATTAAAATTTCTGCCTGAATTTTATGTTCATTTGTATAACATATTATAACTTTATATGTCACTATTGTATAGACAGTGTAACATAAATAGAAGTAAAATTAGGAAGTCTAGGTAGGTATACTGTGAATACTATGAAACCCTTCTTTACAGTGACATATTTTTAAGTATACATGTACCAGTCACCTTTTTTTCCCAAAGCTTCTCCTACTGCAGAATCTCACTGTATACTGAATCAGATAGTCTATTATTAGGTAGACCTACATTTATCAAAGATAAAAAAAGAAGCTGCAAAGTCGATTGAGTTTGAATGCAGAAAATTTGGGGGGTCTGAAGAGGTCCTTAGGGACACTGTGAACTTTGAAGAGCTGTCTTTAGATCAAGGAATTTTAGAATACAATACGGTGATAGAAATCAGTTCATTGGTTGCCTGGAAAGCAGAGAAACATGAGAGCACTTTCTGGGGAGGCGGAAATGTTGTTTCTTGATTGGGGTGGCAGTTAAAATAAACACAGTGGTCAAAAGTCAGCAAATTGTATGCTTAAAATATGTGCCTTTTATTTTATGTTGATATTATACCTCAAAGTTGATTTTTTGTTTTAGAGTGGTGTAGAAAAGAATAAAAGCTAAAAAAATTCTTGACAAAATAGTACGTTAAATTGTTTTAAAGAGAAACATCTATATTAAAGTTGCCCTCATCTCCTGTGGCCTTTACTATTAATTTATCAGAAAAACATGCTTTTAAAGGTGTTTCTTTGCAGCCATTGATAACCATCTTTAGACTTTGAATTTACATTTTTAGTTTTTTGGGCAAAAAAGGTTAAAGCACTATATTTTAATCTTGCTAACTTGATTTGGAGAATTAATAATTTTAAATTGCTGGTTTGATTTTTTTTTAAACCATTTAAACAAAAATGTCTTTATTTTGTTTTGAATTTTCAGAATTGGTTTTATACCCTGGAATATTGAAATGGAAGTTCTTCCTCTCATTTCTTCTGTGTTGCCAAGAACTATTTTTCCAACAAGTACCATATCTTTAGAAAATTTTGGTAAAGTTTGTGAAATGCTTTTTTTTTATTTTAAAAACTGTTATTAGTTTCTTCCAGTTTCATAAAAATGTGAGTGTTGATTTAGAAAAGCTGTAAAGTAAGGTATAGTAACTCCTAGATATTTCTACAAATATTTGGACAGTGACTTGACTTTAAAATCATTCCAACTAGAGTGTATATACACAATAGAATACTATTCAACCCTATAATAGGAAATCCTGTCAGTTGTGACAACACAGGTAAACCTGTAGGACATTATGCTGCTAAGTTCATAAGCCAGACATGGAAAGACATGCTCTCACTTATGTGGAATCTAGAAAAGTTGATCTCATACAACTAGAATGTAGAGTAGTAGTTACTAGGTGCTGGCCTGGGGGTGGGGGGGCGATTGGGGAGGTATTGATTAAAGGATATAAAATTTCAGTTAGCTAGGAAGAGTAACTTCAAGAGATCCATCATACAACAATGGTGACTATAGTTAATAATACAGTTCTTGAGTAACATGGGTTTGAAATTTGTGAGTCCACTTGTACACAAATTTTTTCAATAAATATACTGAAAATTTTTTTGGATATTTGTGACAATTTGAAAAAACAGAGAAAGTATCTAGCCTAAAATATTGAAAAAGTTGAGAAGATATGTCATGAATGCATAAAATATATGTAGATCCGAGTCTGTTTTATTAATATTTACTCCCATAAAATATATACAGATCTATTATAAAAGTTAAAATTTATCAAAACTTATGCACACGAACACAGACTGTGCATGATACCATTCAGAGTCAGGAAAAATGTAAACAAAGATGCAGTATTAAATCATAATGGCATAAAATTGACTGTTACTGTGGTGAGTTCAAGTGTTGTGAGTATCCATTAAATGCAGTGTAAAACTAATCATCTCCAAGTGAACAGTTTTCCGTTCCAGCAAATTGCATATTGCAGTAAAAGGTGATAGGTTGGTGATACTTAATGTCATGTTTAATGCAATACCATAAACCTTGAATGACACCATGGGACCCATATGAAGTGGCATTAGTAATGCTGGAAGTGCTCCCAAGAAGTAGAGAAAACTTTTGACATTACAAGGAAAAGTTGAATTGCTTGATGTGTACCTTAGATTTAGGTCAACAGCTGCAGTTGCCTGCCATTGCAGACAGATAATTCATCTTGTAAACAGATGGTGTGAACTTATGGTATTGATAAATACAGTACTGTAAATGTATTTTCTCTTTCTTACGATTTTCTTAACATTTTCTTTTCTCTAGCTTTATTGTAAGGATACAGTATATAATACATATTAAAATATGGTTAATCAACTGGTTGTGTTATCAGTAAGGCTTCTGGTCAGGAGTAGGCTATTAGTAATTAAGTTTTGGGGGAGTCAAATGTATGCTGATTTTTGACTGTGTGGGGAGTTGGTTGTCCCTAAAACCTGCATTCTTCAAGGGTCTATAGTATATTGAAAATTGGCTAAGAGAGTAGATGTAAGGTGATCTCTACAAGAATAACTATGTGAGGTAATGCAGATGTTAATTAGCAAGATTCAGTCATTCCACAATGTATACTTATAAACATGTTGTACAAGGTAAATACATACAGTTTTATCTGCCAATTTAAAAATAATCATCCCAAATAAAAAATCTGTTTTACAGTTTTAAGAAATTATGACTCAAAGGCTTTGAGGAACTGATTAGAAGTCTCTTTTCTGTTTAGGACTTTAGTGTCCAAACTGTAGATCTTTTAGAAGTAATATCTGTTAATTAATTATGAACAAATAGTTTGAGTCTTTATCAATTCATGGGTAACTTGACAGTTTTTCCCCTTTTTGCATAATACCAGTTCATAAAGCCAATAGCAGTTAGCAGGCCAAATTATATTTTCCCTTTTTTCCTTATAAAATTGCCCACACAGATCCAAATCTAGTTATAATTTATTTCAGTGTCATTAAGAAAGAGCTGATGAACACTTTATATTACTCAGATATTATTAGCCATACATTTATTCATAATTTGATTTATGAGCATATTGTTTTACTCTATTACAGATTGTTGTATGCTAAAATTAGCTAAAGCCAAACTATTATTTCCTAAAACACATTTACTTTTTTAAAATTTTAATTTTACTAGATACTTCTTGCAAGGCATTAGCACATACCCAAGAAGGAGAAGAAAAGAAGCAAACTTCTGGTACGTCAAATACCAGAGGATCAAGACGAAAACCTGCAGCAACAACTCCTACAAGGAGATCTGCACGTAACATGAGAGCTGAGGCAGTCAGTCAGTCTCCGAGATCCCCAGTATCAAATAATTCTAGGTGTGATGCCCCAGGTAACAATAATCCATCTGTAAGTGTTTCCTCTTCAGCTGCATCAGAAAAGCAAACAAGACAAGCTCCAAAAAGGAAGTCTATAAGAAGAGGAAGAAAACCACCTTTATTAAAAAAGAAGCTTCGGAGTTCTGTACCTCCACCTGAAAAATCATCTTCCAGTGATTCAGTAGATGAAGAAACGGCAGAATCTGACATGCCACCTGTGTTAGAAAAAGAGCACCAATCAGATGGAGAAAGTAGTACTAATTGTACTGTGAAGACAAATGTAGAAGACCAATCTGCTAACTGCTTGCAAAGTTTCAGTGAGCAAATAGAAAGTGAGAAACATGCTGAGAATCGTGATATAGAGGAAAACGTAGAATCTTCATATTCTGAATCTTGTACTCAGGGTCCTCCTGTGCTACTTGGGGAGGAAGAGGAAATTCAAAAACTTGAGAACACAGATAGAGAGGCTAAAGTTTTGTGTTTAGAAAGTGAGATTTCTGAAAATATTTCTGAAAAGGGAGGTGATCCATTAGAAAATCAAGACCAGATATTTGGACCTTCAGAATCAGAGGTAAAGGCAGATATGTATACAGATCATCCTCCAAATGACTTTCTTCCATGTTCAGGATCCGAAAGTGAAGTACACAAACCTGTATCTAGTCCCTTACCCGAGTTACCTGAGAATGCAGAGTCAGTGGTTAATGAAGAAAAAATGAGAGAGAATCCCATAGCAGAAATTATTGATCATAAAGATTCTACAGTAAAAATAGAAGAGCTTATAGATAGTCCCAAGTTAGAATCCTTTGAGGGTGAAATGATACAAAGAGTGGATAGAAAATCTATTGAGAACTCAGAGATTCAGTTGCTTGGGCATGTTAAAACTGAAGATACAGAAATAATTACAACATGTGATACTTCTGAGAATGAAAATGTCAATAGTATTCAAGACTCTGAAAATAATTTATTAAAAAATGATCTTATTAACACCAAGTTGGACAAATCTTTAGAAGAAAAAAGTGAATCTGTGATTGAACATCCCAGATCTACAGAGTTGCCTAAAACACATAGTGAACAAATTCAGAAGCATTTTAGTGAGGACAACAATGAAACGATACCTATGGAGTGTGATTCATTTTGCGGTGACCAAAATGAATCCGAAATTGAACCATCTGTAAATGCTGATTCTAAACAACTGAATGAAAATTCTGTGGCACTCAGTTCTGAAAATAATGTACCGTCTTTTGATCCTGCAAATGAAAAGACTGAATCTGTATCTCAACCATCAGAAAGCTCAATAGATACAATAGATAAAGCCAAAAAGCCTCGTACTCGAAGATCTAGATTTCACTCCCCATCTACTACTTGGTCTCCCAACAAAGATTCTGCACAAGAAAAGAAGCGGTCCCAGTCTCCATCTCCCAAAAGAGAAACTGGTAAAGAAAGTAGGAAGTCTCGATCACCATCTCCTAAGAAAGAATCTGTCAGAGGACGGAAAAAATCTCGTTCTCAGTCCCCCAAAAAGGATATTGCAAGAGAACGGAGGCGATCTCAATCTCGGTCTCCAAAAAGAGAGAGTACAAGGGAAGGGAAAAGATCTGAATCACTGTCCCCAAGAAGAGATACTTCTAGAGAGAACAGAAGATCTCAGTCAAGAGTGAAAGATTCCTCTCCAGGAGAAAAATCCAGATCCCGGAGCAGAGAAAGAGAAAGTGATAGAGATGGACAGAGAAGAGATCGAGAAAGAGAGAGGAGAACCAGAAGATGGTCTAGGTCCAGATCTCATTCTAGATCACCCTCGAGATCCAGAACAAAAAGTAAGAGTTCATCATTTAATAGAAATGACAGAGATGGTTACTCTCCTCGGTGGAAGGAAAGATGGGCAAATGATGGTTGGAGATGTCCACGAGGAAATGATCGATACAGAAAGAATGATCCAGAGAAACAGAATGAAAATACAAGAAAAGAAAAAAATTATATCAATCCAGATGTCGATGATCCAAATTCTGCTGAAAAACGTAGAAATGACTGTCTTAATTGGGTTACAGAAAAAATAAACTCTGGGCCTGATCCAAGGACCAGAAATCCAGAAAAGTTGAAAGAGGCTCATTGGGAAGAAAATAGAAATGAAAATTCAGGGAATTCTTGGAATAAAAACTTTGGTTCAGGTTGGATGTCTAACCGTGGTAGAGGTAACCGTGGACGAGGCACTTACAGAGGTAGTTTTGCCTATACCGATCAGAATGAAAGTAGGTGGCAAAACCGCAAACCCCTCTCAGGGAATTCAAATAGTGCAGGGAATGAGTCTTTCAAATTTGTGGAACAGCAACCCCATAAGCGAAAAAGTGAGCAAGAGTTCTCATTTGATACACCTGCAGATAGATCTGGGTGGACATTTGCCTCTAGTTGGGCTGTGAGAAAGACTCTGCCAGCAGATGTACAAAACTATTATTCACGACGAGGCAGGAATTCTTCAGGTCCACAGTCTGGATGGATGAGACAAGAAGAGGAAACAACTGAACAGGGTAACATATTCTCTGTTTCTTTATTGATGTTGTTTTATTTGAAGAAAGTTTATAAATTTAATGTCTTATTTGTATGAAATTGATGTGATCCTTATTTGTATTTTTTATGTTAAACTGAACCTCAGTTGTTTACAAGTTACTTTGCATTATGTGAATATATGTACATACATTTGTGTACATTTAATATATATTTTTAACACCACTCTTGCTCCAAACCTTGCCAGAGACTTAAATATTTGATGTACTGTTTGTTACAGTAGAAGAATTTGGGATGTTCCTAGGCAGGGTTTAACTTCTATTTCATTTATTTCAGATGTGTGCACTTGAATTTTTTTGATCATTGTTCTCATAAAAATAAGTGACTTTTCTAAAAAAATAAAGATTTATCTTTCCTTATTTTTTTTAAGAACATTGCAAGAAAAAAGCTATTGAAGATATAAAAAATTGATTAACCTTACTTGTAATTTAATAACTAAGTCTCATTTTATATGATTACTTTTTCAACTAGTCAGTAACTTTCTTGAGCTAGTGGTCCTTTGCTCCTGTTGACATATGTCATTGTATAAACTTATTCTTAAAAATAATTTTATTTGAATGTTTTAGTTGGAAACCAGTGCACATTATTTAGAAATGACAGGATTAAATTAAATAATCAGAGATTGGTTTTGTTGCACTGTTTATTGCTATTTAATTTTACTGGAACCAGTGGTTCTTTGCTTCTCTGTCTAAAGAGATTTGTAATCTGGTTTTTTTCACAAGTCTTTTTTCTTTTGGTAGATTCTAACCTGAAAGACCAAACAAACCAACAAATTGATGGTTCTCAGCTGCCTATAAATATGATGCAACCACAAATGAATGTAATGCAGCAACAAATGAATGCACAACAGCAGCCTATGAATATCTTCCCATATCCAGTGGGTGTTCATGCTCCTTTGATGAACATCCAACGCAATCCATTTAACATTCATCCTCAGCTACCTTTGCATCTCCACACAGGAGTGCCTCTTATGCAGGTAGCTGCTCCTACCAGTGTGTCTCAGGGACTACCACCACCACCACCCCCTCCCCCACCATCCCAACAAGTCAACTACATTGCTTCACAACCAGATGGAAAGCAATTGCAGGTATGTTTTTAGCAACTCAGGTTTAATCAACACCATTGTAAACATTTTAGGTATTAGAGACAGATGTTCAAGAAAGGGAGTCCTGGCATCCAAAAACAATTGTTTATTTGATCACAGTTAGGAAACTTTCATAAATCCCTCTTTCACTGTCCTTCTCCAGACACCCCAAGCCCCAAATAACGAAATTCATTGAATACATATCATCAAATATAAGCCACAGTGTGCCGTTATTTATATCTAAACAGTTTTTTGTCAGATTAAGAAGACCAAATTGTGAGCCAAACTAGAATCACGTAGTGGGCGCTATAAAATTTTTTGTTTTCTTGGATTTTTGGGGTGGAGGACTGGGAACTAGAGATTAAGTACTGTGATGAGGCTTGTATTGTCTTGTCCAAACAGTAGATAAAGGTGTTTATTATCAGTTACCATCTATGTTTTATTTTCATTAACTTACCATTGCTAAAAAGGAAGAAGTACTTCTGAGACAGAAAATTTGAATAATTTGCAAACATTTTGTTACTTATAGTTTTATGCCTGCCTTTTAAAAATTCTAGAATCCTGACTGTTATATGTAGTTGGAAGAGTAGGGAAATGGGATTTTAGAATTTGGGATCTTGTATCTTTTTCTGCTGTCATCTCACTGTAGGCCATTTGCCTTCACTGCCTCAGTTTCTCCAGTCTATAAAATCAGGGCACTTACTTTAATAGCTTTGCAGGAAAGGTACAGTTCTTTAAGTGCTATTCTTCTCCTACTTGTTTTTAGTTACTGTCAAAACTTTACACATTTATACTTTTAAAGTGATCTTGACATCTAAATTAGGCTCCATTTAAGAATGTTACTTATTTTTCTTCAAATAGCTCTTTAGATACAAATGACCTGCATTATGCTTTTCTCTTAAGTAGTAAGGTTGATTTGCTTTGTTTTTTAATGTTATATCTAATACATAACTAAAAGACTTTATTGCATACAAGTAATTTGTTAACTGATGATAACTTTTTAAAACAGGGTGTTCCTAGTTCTTCTCATGTAAGTAATAACATGAGTACACCAGTCTTGCCTGCTCCGACAGCAGCCCCAGGAAATGTGGGAACAGTTCAGGGACCAAGTTCTGGTAATACTTCGTCTTCAAGTCACAGCAAAGCCTCTAATGCTGCTGTAAAATTGGCAGAAAGCAAAGTAAGTGTTACAGTGGAAGCCAGCGCAGATAGCTCGAAGACAGACAAGGCAAGTTCAAGGTTGAGAGCAACCTACATAATTCTGTATATGATAAAGATGAAAAAATACCAGCTTTCTATTGTATGAATGGTGAAGAGAATTTATTGTTAGCAGTCTTAAATCCCAGTATTATTTGAAGGGTTCTATCTTGATGTGTTGATGCCCAATGAATTAGTAATATTTCATAATTATTTTTAGAAATATTTGATATATGTATTAGTAAATAACTTTTATATTTGTCACACTGATATTTGAATTTTCTTTTAATGTAAAGGTGGAATATTTTCAATTTCATATTGTCAAAGAAGCTTCTTGAAAGTATGTGGTTGGCAAATAATAATTATACATTTTCTTTTCATCAGAAATTGCAAATTCAAGAAAAAGCAGCGCAAGAGGTAAAATTGGCCATTAAACCATTTTACCAAAATAAAGATATCACCAAGGAAGAATATAAAGAAATTGTACGGAAAGCAGTAGATAAAGTAAGTTACAGCTTTAGTGGAGTTATGTGCATATTGTTTTGAACCACTTCTATTTTTAATAAAGGAATGCTTAAGTTTAATTAAAATAATAAAAGCTAGCTCCTAGTAATTCTTGTCTGCTTTTTTACCTTTTGAATAAGTTTGTATGTGATAGGAAATGTGAAAATAAGTCTGGTTATCTCTTTGGGGTTATTTTTCACAAAGCTTTCCATTTTGCTTTAATCCCTTTAAGCTTGAAAAAAGTTTTTCCCCCCTTTTTTCTTAGGTTTGTCATAGTAAAAGCGGTGAAGTAAATTCTACTAAAGTGGCAAATCTGGTTAAAGCCTATGTAGACAAATACAAATATTCACGGAAGGGGAGCCAAAAGAAAACTCTGGAAGAACCTGTGTCTACTGAAAAAAACATAGGCTGAATTGGGGAGCACTATAAAGGACATTATCAAGATATCTGCAAAGTGCAATTTCAACATGTACCATTAACTGAAAATCATGCATAACTGTGATTGAAATTTGGTTTTGATAAAATTATTTTTTTTAACGTAGGATATAATGTTTTGTTCTAAATAAATAATAGTTCTGCACTGCAACTTCTATACCCTTCCTTCCCCTCCACCTGAAAAGAAAATTTCAAGGGAAAGTAAAGTGTTTAGAGGAAGGTGCATTTTTATTAGGACTGTGTTATAGTGTGGATACGGAAGATGTACAGCTTTTGATTAAAACAACGGAGTGCATAAATTAGAGACTTCTAAGTGCACTGGTTTTGCAAGATATATATATATATAATACATTTATTCTGTCAGGCTAAAAAATAAAGTATGAACTTTATGATTTTTCCCTTTAATTATAGAAAGTTAAATAATGTATTACCATGAAAAATATTTCTAATATTAAATAGAACATACCAGTTGCAGGGTTCCTAATGTGTATTTTTACAGCACATATCTGAATAAATTGCTGAGATAGAAGAAGACAAATTATCACGAGTAAAATTTAGTGTTCAAACTTTTGAGACACTCTTCACCTGTTGTGTGACCAAATAAAGGTTATGCTGCTTGTTTCTCTTTTGTGCCTTTTTTTCCCCAGTTGAGATGAAGCTGTTTGATTTGCCAGATCACAACTTTGGCAGTTCAAAATCTTTGTTCAATTTAGATGACCAATTTGGGGAAAGTGTTGACATTGTAGAAATTATGTTCTTTCATAATACCTTCTACCCATCAGAGATGATAAATTATTTGTGCCAACTGGAGAATTGTGTTAAGTTGTGACCCTTTCTTCCTTGGGACTAAGGTAGAATTTCAAGACCCACTGCATTGGCTTCAGGTTGTTGTTGCTCATCTATCTAATCACTAATGAAATTCTTTTTACACTTGAGAAATCCTCAAATGCTTGGCAATGAATAAAATGTTAATTTGGTGACTATGTGTTGGCCGTTAGTCATATTGCAAAATTCCACATTAAAACTTGTGTTTTGTTTGGAAAGAAAGGGGGAAATTGAATAATGAAGTCTTGGTTAGGTTTTCAGGGACTAGGGATTTGGTTGTTTGTTTTTAATACTAGTGTATGTTAATTTTTATAAAAGGTAAGTCTAAAATGTTCAGAGAGGCATTATTTTAATTGGCATCTTAAAAGAACAGTGGGTTTTCTCCATGATAAACTGTATTTTGTTCCAGTAACAATTTTCAATAGATACCAAATAACTGGAAAGCTGTTCAAATAAGATCTTAATGGATCCAAGGTAGATAAATGTCTCAGTGAGATAAACTGATCGTTTTACTAGCTAAACTCTTTAGTGAGAGCAATACTCTATAGGACTGTGCTTTTCTAAAGTAAAGATTATCTGTTTTTTAATTTTATGTGCATAATATTTTCCTGGTGCTAGCTTTGATAGGCAAAATATTTTGAAATGTTGGCTCCCATTATGATTGTGCTAGTTCATGAGCTTTGTTAGGTTATGAGTATAATCCTAAAAGTATTTCCAAGCAGTTTTTGATCTTCATTCTACATTTCTGGGCATTTGTAATATGGTATTCTACTGACGTATATATTTTTAATTAAAGTTTGTGTGTAGATTATGATGAAGTTTGGAGTATATTTCTTCTAAGAAAATACTAAGACAGTGTTTCAAATATCAATGCACACCTCGGTTGTTTTGGTTAAGAACTCTAGAAACAATTGTGGGAACTTTCAATCTATTTTGAGTTAAGGCTGGTTCACACTTTAAAAATTTTGTAGCAAATTGCTGTGCTTATGCTGATTAACCACACAATACAAACTCTGCATTTTCTTTCAGTGACATTTAGTGAATTAGGTGACGTTTTAAAATGTGCTTATACCGTTTAGCTTTTGCAAAGAAATTTTAAACTTTTGGAGAAAACCTACGTGGTATGGTCAAGAGTTAAACTCTCCTATGTTTGGTAGTACTCTCATGAATTATTTCTACCTTTCTTGAAAATAACAAGTATGTGTTCCGTATCTGGGGCACTGGTTAGACTGCATTTAAAATAGCTAATGAGAAATGTTTCTGGATTAGAATTCAACCTTTTTAAATTTTGAAATGTTTAAGAATATGTTAGAAAATGCATGCTTTATGTTGAAAAAGTATGTTGCATTAACATTCCCCATTCTTGCTTTTTTCCAGAAATTCACATTAATTTTGCATGTGCACAGACTTAAAAAACATTTGTAGGGTTACATATTGTTATTTATCAAGATTCAGTATTGACCTTTGAAACCTTGGTCCCTTTAACTTACTAGTCACATTGACCGATATTTTAGGCTATATAGATGCCTAGAATTTTGAGACTAATAGAAGTTATCTATGATTTTAACATTCCAAAAGTTTTATGATTTTTTTTTTTATAATTACATTTTATTACCTTCCTTTAAATGATTTCAGTGTATACTGTTTGAATGTTCCATCCAAAAGATGTAGCTTCAGAAGCACAGTGGTTGCCCCACGGTCCATGAGACATTGTTTGTAGTATGAGGTTGGAGTGCTGTCTACTGAAATAATACTCTTAAATATGTAGTGTGTAATATTTTCTAATAAATTCTTTTGATAAACAAAGTAGTGTCTTTAACATTTTATTATGAAGGTTTCTGGGAAATGGTGACTTTTACTTGATTATAACCCTTTTCAAACATGTGTTGAGGCCGGGCGCGGTGGCTCACGCCTGTAATCCTAGCTCTTGGGAGGCCGAGGCGGGTGGATTGCTCAAGGTCAGGAGTTCAAAACCAGCCTGAGCAAGAGCGAGACCCCGTCTCTACTATAAATAGAGAATTGATTGGCAACTGATATATATATATAAAAAAATTAGCCGGGCATAGTGGCGCATGCCTGTAGTCCCAGCTACTCGGGAGGCTGAGGCAGAAGGATCAGGAGCCCAGGAGTTTGAGGTTGCTGTGAGCTAGGGTGACGCCACGGCACTCACTCTAGCCTGGACAACAAAGTGAGACTCTGTCTCAAAAAAAATAAAAAAAAAAAAAAAAAAAAAAAAAAAAAAAACATGTGTTGAAGTATTGCATTTGTAACAAAGTCACTAGCATCATGTTTACATTAATGTTCAAGCTCGAAAGCATGCTTAGAGTTAGCTATCAGCATATATTTTAATAGCAGTTTCCCCCTGACTATATAATTATTGTAGGAGATTAGAAAAACTTTAGTAAATTTGTAAAAGAGGGAAGAGACTGAAAAAAGGGGAAAAATCACCTGTAATCCTACCATTCAAAGGTAACAAATTCTGGCTGGGTGTGGTTGCTTACACCTGTAATCCTGTCACTCTGGCTGGGAGGCTGAGGTGAGAGGACCATTTGAGGCCAGGAGTTCAAGATGAGCCTGAGCATAGCGAGACTGTGCCTGTAGTCCCAGCTACTCAGGTGGTGGAGGCAGGAGGATTTCTTGAACCCAGGAGTTTGAGGTTGCAGTGAGCTATGATGAGGGCACTGCACTCTAGCCACGACAGGGAGACTCTGTCTCAAAAAAAAAAAAAAAAAGTCTCTAATGCTTATCAAACTGCACATAACTGTGTTGTAACCTATCCTTTTCACTTGATGTATTGAGAATTCTCCATTTTAATAAAAATTCTACAGCATGATTTTTAATGGCTCTATAGAATTTGTTACATAAATGTACCTCTGCTATCGGATATTAAGTTGTTTTTACAAATATAAAGGAAATAAATTAGTAAAATACAAATTTTACTAATATAAATAAGACTGATGTAAATGTCTTTGTAGGTAAATCTTTGTACCAGTTTCAGATTTTGGGGGGGGGATTAAGTCCTTGAAGTAGAATATCATGGGCAGTTATTTATCCATAAAAAATTTTAAAATGTAATTATACACAATGCTTTTCTTTCTTTTTTTTTTTTTGAGACAAGATCTTGGTCTGCTGTCCAGGCTAGAGTGCAGTGGTGTCATCATAGATCACTGCAACTTCAATCTCCTGGGCTCAAGCAATTCTCCTGCCTCAGCCTCCTGAGTGGTTGAGAGTACAGACCTGTACCACCATGTCTGGCTGATTTTTCTATTTTTTGTATAGATGTGATCTTGCTTTTGCTCAGGCTAGTCTTGAACTCCTGACCTCAAGTAGTCCTTCCTAACCTCAAGTAGTCCTCCCACCTCAGCCTCCCAAAGTGCTAGGATTAGCACTTTGGTGCTAATGTACAGGTGTGAGCCCCTGTACCCAGCCCACAATGCATAATTTTTAAAAAATTCAATTATATGTACCGTAAGACTTGTTTTCTTAAGCTGATTTTTCTGTTCAGAGAGAACCACCAGAAAGGTCTGTGTATCTTTCCAAAACTCTTCAATGCATTTACAAAAATGTGTTTTTTAAGGTTCTAGGAAAGCAGGTTTCGTAGATCTTTTTCTCAGCACATGAATTATATTCTGTAAATTGTCCTGCATCTTTAGTCCCCTTAATAACTTTAAAACATATTCTAATGTCAGTATATATAAATGTGCTATGTTCTTTATATTGGCTACATTATGTTCCCGTGTTGGTGGCCATGTAAGTTATGGCAGTTTTTGGCTATTGGAAACAATGCTTTAATGAACACTCTGTGACTTATCTCTATGAACCTCAATTTTTGTGTAGTAGGTTACATGTATTTCAGGGTATGCACATTTTTCTTTTTTGTTTTTATTTAGAATTGCACATTTTAAACTTGGGCAGAGACTGCTAAATTGTTCTCTGAAAGGATTGTATTATAGGTCTATCACCTACCTGATAGTCAACCTTTGATATTGTGACTGAGCACATAAGATTCATTATTCATAAGATCTTAGTAAATATTCAGTTCATCAAACAATGCATACCTTCCATGTGTATGGAATTGCTAGATTCTTGTGTCAGATTTAATCTTACCATACAATATTAAAAATAATAGTACAGTAGTAAGTGTATTAAGCTTTTAGTATGTGCCAGGCACTCTAAAACATTTGATATGTTGTATGTATTATACTTTATAAAAACAATTCTGGTAATTATCTTTGATGAGAAAATTGAGATGCATAAAGGATTCACTGAATTACTCTAGTTTCACAGGATTCTTAAGTGATGGAGCCAAGATTCAGATCTAGGATTGCTATATATCAAAGTCCAAGCTTGACTTGGGCCTGTTGAGTTCACATACATAAATTAACATATAGTAACACATGGGTGCAAGGGCTGATATAGAGAAATGAATAAGGTAGAAGAGGGTGTGACTGACTACATGGGGAAGAGAGGGATGGGGAAGGGATATTGATCGAGTAATAAAACCCAGCTCTAGTTACCTGCCACGTTACCATTTGACCTTTTTCAACAGTCTTAACTATTACTTAGATTCTGTACAAACCAGTTCATCTTAGACACTACAGACTAATCCAACAGCATAGTTTTGGTCATATTATTAATTCAGTAGATAGTGCCAGCAAGGAAGTGCTGAATGCTAGGGAAGAGTGAGCAAAACAATACCATTCTTACCTTCATGGAGCTATAATGGAGCAACAGGTACATGTATGTAACTGATAAGGGTGCAAAAGGGAGGGCTACCAGGTGCTTCATGAATCTGAGGAGTTAATAGAATGTAAGTGGTCAGGGAGGTGATGCTTCAGCTAAGAGCTAAAAGGTTAACTAGGCAGGGAGAGAAAGTATGAGCTGGCCGAAAAAATAGAAGTAAAAGCAGATCTGGCCAGAGATAGCATGGCATCCCTAATCCTAGAATGGCTGGGATGAAGATTGGTAGGACATTTTCTTAGGGAATATGTTATGCAAGGAGGTGTTTGACATCAGATTTGCATTTTGAAAAGATGGCTCAAAATGTTTCAGTGGCTCAGTAGAAGTGTTTAAAACATGAAGTGTTCAACTTCACAATCAAATTACTATTTTAAATTTTATAAAACTGATGATTTTTAATTCTGGCAAGAGTGCCATGACCAAACACTACTGGTAGGAATGCAAATTGTACAATTTTTCTGAAAGGCAATTTGAAAATATATATGGAAAGTCTTAAAAGGTCATATACTCTTTCCATAATGATATAAACATCCTGGGTCCATATGCTATTTTTTCCCAATGTTAGTGGAAAATTTGAAGGGGATGGTTAAACTATAGTTTACTCATGTGAAGGTATTTTGCAGTTATTTCAAATGTTTAAAGGGAAAAAATGGGAGAATGTATTCTAACATTAGGTGAAGGAAAAAAATAGACACAAACTATATACGATTATACTATCTTTAAAAAAAAACAAACCAAAAGGCCAGATGAAGTGGCTCATGCCTGTAATCCTAGCACTCTGGGAGGCTGAGGCAGGCGGATCGCTCAAGGTCAGGAGTTCGAAACCAGCCTAAGAGCGAGACCCTATCTCTACTAAAAATAGAAAAAATTAATTGGCCAACTAAAAATATATAGAAAAAATTAGCTGGGCATGGTGGTGTAGGTCTAGTCCCAGCTACTTGGGAGGCTGAGGCAGGAGGATTGCTTGAGCCCAGGAGTTTGAAGTTGTCATGAGCGGGGCTGATGCCATGGCACTGTAGCCCAGGCAATAGAGTGAGACTCTGTCTAAAAAAAAAAAAAAAACCCAATACAAATTATTAATAGAAATTGTTTCTGGGTATAGATGATTTGTTTTTCCCTTTATGCTTTTGTTTGGCTTCCAGATTTCATACAGTGAACAAAAATTACATGATCAAAAAAAATCTCTTCCAAATTGCAGGCCTCACTGTTTGGGGTGAGGGTGGGAGAAGGGACTAAAGAGTTTGGTGTAGATTGGAGAACTGACAACTTCCCACTCTGAAACCGGTGGTGATAGGAATTTGTCTAGTGTCTAGTGCCTCCCCACACTGAGCTCCCCAGGGAAGAGGTTGGCCTCTTCTGGCAACTGAATGGGTTCTAGTCTGTAATCAGTAAGCACTGGCTTTGTGGACTGAGAAACCCTTGAGTCTGTAAGGAAATGGACTTTCCAGAGCATACCCCCTCCCTGCATCATGTGTACACTAGAGAAGATAATCCATTTCTGGTGGTAAGGAAGGCGTCTTGGTTTTAAAGCTCACAGAGAAGTAGGGCCCAGAATATGTTTGTGACCTCGAATATGTTGCCACTGAGCCTGACTTGCCTATAATAGGGGAGCTGCCTATCTACCTACCTTATAGGATACTGTGAAGATTGAGATAATAGATATGAATGTCTTGAAATTTCCTCCATATTTACTTTGGAAATTCCTGCCTATATGATCAGGACAGCTATTGTCCCTCTTGGGCACTGACAGAAATGCAATGTGTCCAGTGGTTTGCAACCTAGCTGCATTTTTTTTTTTTTTTTGAGACAGAGTCTCACTTTGTTGCCCAGGCTAGAGCGAGTCCCATGGCGTCAGCCTAGCTCACAGCAACCCAAGCTCCTGGGCTCAAGCAATCCTGCTGCCTCAGCCTCCCAAGTAGCTGGGACTACAGGCATGCGCCACCATGCCTGGCTAATTTTTTTTTTTTTTAGTTGGCCAATTAGTTTCTTTCTATTTATAGTAGAGACGGGGTTTTGCTCTTGCTCAGGCTGGTTTTGAACTCCTGACCTGGAGCAATCCACCCGCC